TGAAAATAAGTATTTTCCAGGTACAGTGGGGCCTTGACTTAGGAGTTTGATTCGTTTGGAGACTGAGCTCGTTAAGGAGCTCGTTAACTCAAATTACTCTATCAACTCAATGCAAAAAATTGGCGGAGAGACAGCTGGTATCTCAAAAAACTCGTTAGTCGGGACACTCGTAAGTCAAGGCCCCACTGTACTCCTGATGTGTTATAAACCACCCCAAAACTTAATGGCATAAACAATTGTTTTCTTCGGCTCATGGAACCTGTGGGTCAGGAATTCCGGCAGGGCACAGTGGGAATGGCTTGATTCTGTTTCTTGATGTTTGAGGCTCAGTTGGGAAGATTCAAACAGCTGAAGGGGACTCAGCAGCTAGGAAATGGAATTATCTGGAGGTTCTGGGATGACTCAAATGTCGGACTCACCTGGGGCAGGCAACGCACCTGCATGGAGCCCTTCCACAGGCTTCAGATCCTCACAGCATGGCTGTCTCAGGCTCCCAAAATGAGCATCCCACGTACAGGGCAGAGGCTGCATCACCTTTATGATCTAGGCTGGGAGGTCACATAGCACGACTTCTGCTGAATTGTACTAGTAGAGGCAGTCACAAGACTGCTCAGATTCCAGGAGAAGAGAGAGAGAGAGAGAGAGAGAGAGAGAGAGAGAGAGAGAGAGAGAGAGAGAGAGAGACCCCACCCCTCAATGGGAGACGTGTCACTCAATTTTATGGCTTTTTTTTTTATTTTTTATGCCACCACAGGAACAGTTTCTTGCTATAATCAATGACATCTTTGTTTTGGTTAGGCCACTCTGCCTTACCAAGCATAGAACACTCTTGTCTAAACAATGTTGAACATGAACCTGATTTGATGGTGAACAAGCTTCCTTGCTGTTTCCTGAAGAGAAATGTCTGAACTTTAAAAAGCTGCTTGGCAGCAGCAGCGTCTGCAGAGCACCACAACATCTGAGAGCAATGCTGAAAATTCTGTAACCCGTCCAGTCGCCTGTGGGACGAGAAGACCTGGCTTTGCCTGCCCAGATGGGGGAGGGGAACAGTAAATGACTCCAAGTGCTTTATGAATCAGTTTTTCAGCCTCTCTTTTAAAGATAAATACTTTAGTTGAATTAAATTTGGGTCATGTAAAAAACCTCAGTTTAATTTTCTTTTTAAAAGTAAGTTTCCATAAGCTGGTATGATTTATTTATTTTCTTCATTTAGCCAGTTTAAATTATTCAGGGACTGTGTTTTAGTGCTTAATTGGGCAAGTCATTAATGACCCTGGTGAAAATGAGATGGAATGGCTGTGTTTACATCATGCCTGTTTCTGTTAGATTTTTTTTTTTTTCTTTTTAACAGGAGAGTTATTTATTTGAAACTATTGACCCAAATACATTATCTGAGATTTATTTCTGCATCACCAGGTGGGGCTCTGGGCTTGGGGCTTAAAGAGGCCAAGGCCTTAGATCATCCTGTTTATCATTTATTTGAGCAAGGGCTTTAAAGCAGCGGTTCTCAACCTGTGGGTCACGACCCCTTTGGCGGTCGAACGACCCTTTCACAGGGGTCACCTAAGACCATCCTGCATATCAGATATTTACATTACGATTCATAACAGTAGCAACATTACAGTTATGGAGTAGCAACAAAAATAATTTTATGGTTGGGTCACAACATGAGGAACAGTATTTAAAGGTACAGAAGGTTGAGAACCACTGCTTTAAAGAAACATGTCCCAGTGGTGAATCAAGAATAAAGGGGCAGACTCAACAAATTCAGAAGTTTGTATCATTTTGGTGACAATTGGTTATTCAAATGGTCATTATTCAGAGGTGATAATGGATAGAGATTAAAAAAATCTAACCTCCCCCCCCCGTCCAGGGTACCATCTCTGATTTGAAACTATTTTTTTGTTGCTTACTTACCTTGCATGCTTCACTCAAAACCATGATGTGTGGGAGAAATACGAAATTTGGAATTAGGCAGCTGTGAATTCATATTCTGCATAATTTATGTGGAGGCAGATAAATTTCTCAAACTTTGTGAGCCAGTAATTTGGTTATAATAAAATAGGGAAAATAACACGTAAGGGTTAAATGAAGTACGGAACATAAAACCTGGTTGCAAAGCCTGGCTCGGAGTGAAAGGGGACACATTAGCTGTTGGGTTGTTTTATTCACTTTTTGCAACTTCAATAGTTCAGCAGAAGCAGAAGACACAGCAGTGCTCCATATAGATGACGTGGCCTTGAAGCTCTTGTGAGCTGAGTATTTCCAAGGAGTGAACTTACTCGCCTTCATCCCTTCTAAGCCAGGTTGTTAGTGCCTTTCTCCCAAACAAAACAAATCAGGGTTATGACTGGCATTTCGGAGACTTGGGACGTAAGGATAACAGGGAGACCGTTTTACAGTTATTGGACATTGGCTATGTGCCAGACAACGTACTGAGTTTTCATATACGTTTTCTCATTTACTTCTTACAATGACCTTAGAAGATGTAATACTCCTTAATCAACTACCCTAAACTATTAGTGGGCAGCTCTGCTGTGAGCCAGGCTGGGCTGATCTTGGCTAGGTTTGCTCAGGTGTCTGTGGTCACCTGATGGGGCAACTGGTATAGACCAGACTAGGGTGGCCTTGGCTGGCTGAGACAGCTCAGCTCCACCCAACGTGGTCTCTCACCTTCTTACAGGTTATCTTGGGCTTGTTCTCATGGTGGTGGCAGGGGTCCAAAAAAGGAAGGGGAAACATGCATGTCACTGTCGTGTGGCCAAGCTCTGAGTTAGGGTGGGAGAGCACATTCAGAGGAATGGATTCAGGAAAGCATGAACAAATGGGGGCCATTAGTATACTTGTTCTTCCGCAACAGGTAACATTATTACCTCCATTATAGAGGAGGAGATGGAGGCTAGCAGTGCTGTGCCTCTAGTCTTGGGCATTGGCCAGGCGGCTCCCTAGTGTCTTGTTCTGCTGTGTACTTTCTTAGTGATCTACTACATGAGTTGGGAATGTTTTCCAATAAGCTAAATTTCTCCCTCTCTCCCATTATTTGGTGTTCATTTGAAATTTCATGTAAGATTTTTAGGAGTAACCAATTAGTCCTGGAAACCCAGTAGAATGGCATGGAGGCACAGTGCAGGTAAGATGGTGAGGTAAGTCTACTTATTAGAGAAAATGAAGGGGAGGCAGATATGTAATTGGATGGAGCATAAATTGAAGAATATGATACAAATGTATACCTCTGTTTGTTGGTTTCCCTGATTGTGCCGGGTCTGCTCCCCCTTCTCCAGGCCATCTTCTCTGAATCCCGACACCCAGACTGAAAAAGGCAAGACCTTAGCATTGGCTTGGGGCATTTCTTAGCTCTTTGACCTTGGGTAAGGAAGTCGCCTAACTACTCCGAGCCTCCATTTCCTCCTGTGTGCAGTGAAAATAAAGCACAGATGTTCGTTGTGTGGGTTAAAGGAGACCTGCAGGGGAAGCGCCCTGCCGGATAGAAGCCTCCATGATTCATGGCTGCCTCTCCCCCCCCCAACTCCCCCAAGCTTTTCTTGGTACCTGGAAATGCAGCAGCTTGGCCTGCAGAACTGAGGGGTCTCCTGGTGAGCTGCCAGGGTGGTGCAGAGAGGTTGAGCAGCAGGAGGGCTGTTAATGGATTTTATGGCTTTGTTGAGCACCCCAAACTACAGTTATTAATTATAGAGTGATGTTTAGACACTGTTGTGATATATACATTTTGTTAATTGATGGGGATAGCTCATATCTAGCAATATAAAGAATATTCAGGCCCATAACACTTAGAAAGCATGGTAATTGCTGTTTACCGCCCTCTCTTGCTTCTCAGGCAGGAACAAAGGCATTGAGCAGAGGACAGACAGCTCTCCTTGGTCTGGCTCTCTGTCTAATCTGGCAGGGTGATGGTAAATGTGTTGCATTAATGAATAAATAACTATCTTTGTGTTTGTTTCTCTACTTCTCTATCTTATTTCTTATTTGTTCTTTATACTAGTAAGCCCTGAGCTGTGTATGATATAGGCACTACCTATATGCAAATACGTATGGTCAAGGACTTATTCTGAGCTATTAGTTAATGTTCATTGAGAACCTTTATGAACCTGGCACGGGCGAAGAGGCGCCGGATCCCTGCGCGCAGAGAACTGACATTACTCAGCCACATAAGGTGTTTGTTACAATGCATGATGTCAGGTGCCCTGGTCTTAAGACGTGTGGAGTGACAACATCAAGGTGGTAACTTCTGGCCTGGGCACCATACTGCCTGGGAGTTTGTGTGTGCTCCCACCAAACCTTCAGCAGGCCCAGGACCCCAAGTGCGCCTTTTCTGATGTGGTGTATCAGCGTCTGAGGGCCATGGCAGCCCCGGCCATTGCCCTTTGGGTCTGCGGGGATTTACCCGGCCCGACAGCTCGGAGCCACACTCCCGCTTTTCAGCTCTCGCGTGGGCCTGGCGCCCTCCCCAGACCAGACGGCAGAGAGCTTCCAGAGACCCCGCCAAGGGCCAGACCCGCAGCGACGCCCGCCACCCCTCCTCGCGGACGTCAGCTCCCAGGGTGTGGCGGGGCAGGTCCCCAGCGCCCCCGCGGACCAGATTCAGGCCGCTGGTGACCACTTTCCCAGGGGGCCCGCCATCCCCGGAGGCAGCTGTTTGCAGAGCCGGGGCTGGCGCGCGGGGCGGAGGGCTCCCCGCTGCCGCCCGCCGGGGCTCCGGGACCGAGCGCGAGCAGGGCGGAGGAAAGTTGGGGTCGGGGCCGCGGAGCCGGGAGCGCGGAAGCCGGGACCGCTGTCCGCGGCTCATGAATATGCAGGAGCCACCTCCCTCCGTCCGTGACGTCACGGGCCGTCCCGGGGTGAGCGCTGGAGCCGCGCGGGGTCCGAGCCAGTGAGCGCGGCTGCTGCCGGCGAGCGAACGGCGCGGCGGCGGCACCGGAGGCCGAGCGCGGCGGCGCCCGAAGCGCACGCAGCGGGCGAGGCGAGGCGAGGCGGCCCGCGGCCGGGCGGGCACGGGAGGCGCAGCCGGCGCGGGCGGTAGGCGGCAGACAGCTCTGGGCGGCGGCGAGGATGCTGACGGGGAGGCTGTGCTGGGTGCCGCTCCTGCTGGCGCTGGGCGTGGGGAGCGGCGGCGGCAGCGGCGGCGGCGGCAGCCGGCGGCGCCGCCTCCTCGCGGCTAAAGGTGGGTGCTGGGGAAGTTTCCTTCTCTCCGAGGAGGGAGACGGGGCGGGCTTGCGGGTGCCAGCGGCGGGGACCCGGCTCACGCTACATTTGCTCACCCCCCCTTGCCGCAGCTCCCCGGGCTTCGGTGCGGCCGGGATCCCCGAAGTGAGCGCCCTGCGCCGGGGACCAGAGAGGTTCCACCTGCAGACGCCGGCCCAACTTCTGGGCGGGGTCCAGGGGCCGAGGAGGAGCGAGCTTTGGGGGAGTCTGGACAACTTTGGGGGCTGTCTTGCTGGGGCGGGGGCCGCAGCGAGTCGCGGGCGCCGGCTCGGAGCGGAGGAGCCGGGCGCTGGCGCGGGGAGGAGAGGCAGTTGTCTGCTGTGCCCGGAGGGAGGGACCAGCGGCGGTGCCTGCGAAGGAGGGAGCGGAGCTCAGCCCCCAGCTCGGGGATGGGGCGGAAACTTGTGGGCCGCAGGGGAACCCCCCCTGGCTGGCCTCCGTTTCCCCGGGGCGGGTCTGCCTCCCCTGGGAACACGCGCCCCCCGGGTGGGCCGTGAAGTCGGGTAGAAGTGCGGCAGGTGACGCTCTCCACGGTCTCTTCACTTCGCTCTGGCGCAGGTGGCGGAGGAGCCCGCCCCGTTAAGTAGGAGCTCTTGCCCTCCCTACGCCTCCCGCCCGGAAAAAGCCAGATCTCGGCGAAGGCCCGGCGCTGCCTGGAGGCTAGGCTGGCGAGCGGCGGAGTTTGACCGCTGCCTGGAGAGCCGAGCCAGGGGAAGCGCTGGGGCGGGGGCGCCTGGAGGGCGGATCTGAAAAGAAGGTCACGTGCTTCAAGGACCTTTGGGAGAGAGTGTAGGGAGGAGTAGACAGGGCGGGGGCGGGGGGGGGGAGGGGGGTAGGTAGGGGGCGGTGGGGAGGCAGTACAGATCTGGGCTGGAGCGCCCGGTTTAGTGAGAACTTGTTGATTCTCTGCGCTGGCGTGCGTTTGGTTTGAGGGCTGTGGCCAAATCTGCCAGGTAACATGGTCGCGGGAATCCTGTCTGGCCATCATCAGAGGTTGAAAGGGTTTTCATCTGTAGGTAAAGAGGCTCCCTATTAGAGGCAACTTGATTTGCAAACTGGCTTTGAGCCATGGCTTACCAGTCAGGGAGGGAATGTGTACCAGGCTTAATTACTTTTTGGAAGAGGAGGAGGAGAGAGAGGCCGACCGTTAACCTCCTCTGGGCCTGGGTAATGCTGGTCTTGCAACTTGAGAGTGATACATGGGAGACTAGGAGAGTTGTTGTTTATCCGGTAATCGTTTACTTCTTTTGGTAACATGATTTCAAAACTATTTTATGAGCAGGCATCCTATTTCTTTTCATCAAATTCCCCCAACCCCCTCTACTGGAGGGGCCATTTCATTTTTGGGAAAACAAAGAAAAATTAATTATGAAAATGAGTTGCTGATAGGAAGGGGTCGTTCCGAGAGACTGTTGCTTTGCTGAAACAAATATAAACCAATGAACTTCAAACCTCTTCCCCAATATAGACACTTGGCTAAATAGGCAAATGATTATTTTTGGAGATTTTCCATCACTTTGTAGTAGAGGGAATGGTGTATTTATAAGCAAATGTCTGCAAACAGGGGAGTTCACAGCAAGTGAAGAAAGGGGAAACATTTGTGTGGGAAGAAGACCTGGTGTGCCCATCATTGCAGAGGTCTCAGGTCAGCATGGAAAGCTTTGTAGAGAAAAGAAAGATTAAAAAGAAAAAAATCCAGGCTAACGTGATTTCACGTTTACCTGAACAATTGTGTTCATTTTAACTAACACTTTTCATGTCCCCCACTTAGAATATATATGTTCATTTCATGGTGAAACAAGCCATTTGCCTTTCCAGTGTAAAAAGTTCATTGGTTCTGCAGAGTGAGGCTGCTGTCAAACACTCCATTCTTCCTTCTTTCCCATCCCAACCACTAGGGGGCTGCAAAGAGCGCCGCATAAAAGCAGACAAATGTATAATATTTGGTCAAAACAGAAGCGTTTATTATGACACTTTAGTTGGTATTTATAGAACTGACTTTTCTTATTACAGTGTACTTGAATCTTACATCTCCAAATCTCTCATGATATGTGAAGAACATTTGAGAAAATAAAGGTAAGGTTCATGTATAATGCGCCCTGCCGCTGACTTTGCCATTGCTAAGGTTTATGTCATTACTATTTCCATCACTGAAAAAGAGGAGTCAGGACGGCTTGTGAAGAATAGTGAACAAAAAATGGCTTTCCTCTTCTATACAGTTCTGTTTTCACGTGCAGGAGAAAATGGGGAGTGTGGCCGCGTCAAGCTGCATGGCAGGGTTGAGTGCACCCTCTGGACAACTGTCTGGAGGCACATCCTCTGGGCTTTGGGCTCACCCGCGATGTGGCCGTGGAGCACAGCCTGTCCTGCCTTTGTGTTCCTGGCTTCTTGCTGTAGGGAGTTGAGTAGCTAATCTCAGCAACTGTTTAGGCCTTTCACAGAATTACTGCACGTTCAGTGTAAACATATTCCCGATTTTGGAAGCACCACATTGGCCCAGCATTTAGTATAACCCCTTCCCTCTACTCTCCCGTATATTGGCTATTCAGAAAGGACAGACACTTCTTGAAAAGATGAGTTCCCACACACATGTTTTATAAACAAAGCCTGGGAAGTGTTGTGGGCCCAAAGAGTCTCTGGGGGCAGAGGAGACATGTCTTAGCCCAAGGAAAGACAATGCAATTGAGACCGACTTCTTAAGGTTTGTGCTAGATTCAGTGATGTGTCGGTGGTCTCAGGTTTCAAGGACCTGGTACACAGTTTCTTTCCCATTCTCAACAGGTCGTTGAGGACAGTAACTCAGGATATACCATCAGTTGTTGACATGCCCACCGGTGTGCCCAGAGCCAGGCCCTAGTGCTCAGGAGGATTCTTAGGACCTATCGGAAGACCATCCCCACACCCATCTCATTCCTACTTTTTTGAGAACTTTGATCTAGTTGGAGAGATAAGATTTTTATGTGGAAATTTTAAGAGAATGACAGTAGACAGAATTTTTCCAAAGTGTAGTACTATATGGCAGAGGCAGACAAGGGAAGTGGAGGTAGGAAGAGGGCATGTGTTTGGTAATGAGGAGGCGGGTAGGAAGAAGACAGAGCAGAATTATAATAGTAGTGGTATAATTGTAGTAATTGCAGTTTAAGGAGCCCCTCCTTACTATGTAACAGGCACTATGCTAATCCCTTTACCTGGGCTGTCTCTAATTTTTAACACCCATGGAGGGCTGGTGTCAGTCCATTTCACAGATGAAGAGCTAAGTCTGAGACAGGGTAAATGCCTTGCCAAGACCGCCCAGTAGAGGGCATGGCGCCGGGGTGAGAATAAGGAGGGTCACCTGCTCAGTGCCCCTGGCTGTCATCAGATAGTCTCCCCTTTGGTTTTAAAAGCAGGTCTAGCGGCCACAGGGAAGCGGAGCTGATTCTATATCTGAGTTCCCCGTGAGCCCCGGGGCCCTGCCCACAGCAGCAGGAGCGTCCCAGGATGTTGTTCAGAGCCTGCTGGTGAGGTGAGGAAAGTGGGCCTTGCTTTCATGAATGGAAACCAGTGTTTTTGCTTTTGAGCAGCAGCCTCATCCTCCCTCCCGCAGATTCAAAAATCATTCTTGCATATTCCAAATGGCACATTGCAGTACTTCCCGCAGTGGGGAAGGTGGTATGGAATTTTTATGGTGAATTGTCCTAAATCATCTCTGGGCAAGTAGCATGTGTCTCACAGGGGCGTGACAGTTATTTCTCACAAATGATCAGAAGCCCTCAGCAAGGCATCAGAGGGTGCACTCTGACTTGCTGTCATCCTGAGTCACCTGAGTGGTTCCTGGATCAGGCTGTGCTCATTCCTGCCCTGGATCCTCTGGACTATGTCTTTCTCAGCCCAATTCTTTCTGTTACTCAAGACACGGCCAGACTTAGACATGGTCTCCCTAGGAACCTTCCCAGATGGTCCACCAGGCTGGTCACCCCCAGAAGACCATGGCTCTCCCCCTGGTGTGCCTGGGTGCCTTGTCTGGCTCTAGCACTGCTCTTTGAGGCCCGCTGACCGGAATCTGAATCCTGACTCCCCTGCATCTTTAGGGCCACCCGGCTGCCTGGCCTCCTGAGGTAAGCTGAGCAGTGAGGAGTGGTTGCCACGCTATCATTTCTTGACATGGATATTTTGGGTGTTTTCTCCTGCCCTACATGAAGTAAAATTTGGGCTTAGTAGCCAGAGAAATCTGGGTTCCAATCCTGGCCCTGCTGCTTCCTAGCTAGATAATCTTGGGCACATTAGTTAACCCCTTTGAGCCTATTTCCTCATCTATAAAATGGGATGCAAAGATCTACCTTGCGAAATGGTCATCAGGATAGTGCTTAGAAACCACTTAGCCCAGTTCATGGCATGTAAACAGCAATAAACACAAGTGGCTGTAATTGTTGATTGCTGAAAGACTGTGCCCTAGTGTCTGAGATTGGGTGAAATTCCCCCTTTCTGACCTCTTGGCAATTCAGTAGCTTTGTTCATTTCTTCTCTCAGTTCAAACTCTTCTCTCTCTCTCTCTCTCTCTCTCTCTCTCTCTCTCTGTGCATGTCCATGGGTGTGGAAATATATAGAAATGTAAATATACGTCCATACACATACCCACATTTGGCTTGACTTGAACCTCTTTCACTAGTGTATGTATGCCTTGCAGACCAGGGCCAATTCTCAAAAGCATGCCCAGCTCAGAGTAAGGACTCAGAAATGTGTGCGCTATGTAAATAAATAAACATGTCTCCATGGGCCAGCACTGGAGATGTGGGGTTTGAGTCTCTGGGGGAAGACCTGTAGTGTGATTTTGGTCATAGGAAGAGGTCCCCTGCCCAGTTAGCATTCCTTCCGGAGTTGCTGTTCAATGAAGCAGAGAAGCATTCTTTTCTTGTTTAAGACAACCTCTGTGATAATACCTGTTTATCTGGAAGGGGGTATGTAACCAGATGACAGCCT